ACACACACACACACACACAGCACATCACAGCACAGCACAGCACAAAGAGAGAAACCAACACGACAGTAGAACACGGTGTGTACCGGGTAACTGTGCGTGTAGTGTGTGCTCCACTCACCAGTGTTCAGTCATCATGCTGTGTGTATCCAGAGATCTTCTGGGGTCCCGGCGTCGTCTCCAACGTACGCGAACCCTGCAAAAGCTGAAGATGTAGCTTGCGGAGTAGTGCTAATTGTTGTGTGTAGTAGTAGTAGAACGTCTAGTTGTGGACTGTTCGACTTCTGCAGTGTGTGTGTGCTTGGGAACTGCAAGTCTTGTCACATTGTGGGAATGTGCGTCCGCTTCGCTGACCGATGGTCAAGTCAAGCCGACTGATGAACCGTGGAGCTGCGGGCGGCCTCGCGAGACCGTCAGTGGTCAGTTGGTCACTTCGCGTGGCCGTATGAATGAACTGACCAGTGACGACTCGCTGACTAAGGTCCAACGGTTTCGGCGGACCGCCCTTTTGTGCGCGCGCAGTCGCTGACTCTTGGCGAGCGTTCGATTCCAGGTACAGTTGGTACTTCCGACGTCACGAGACACGCTGATTGGGACAAAAACACAACCATCAGCGTGAGACAGAGACATACTGATTGGCATACTAACCGTAGACAAAGTACCAAGCGCTGTCGCGTACGTGCACCCAAGCGCATACACACAAACACATTCTCGCGCATACACACACACACACACACACACACACACACACACACACACACACACACACAACCACTTCGATCTTTTTTTATGTTAAATCCTAGCAAATGGAAATCAAGAAACATTACAAGATATTCAAACCCCATATAATCCACATTTGTACCAAGCCTTGCACCACCTTGAACGCACTCTAGTTAATGTATCTCTTATTGAGTGAGCACACTAAGTGAGACATGCTGAAAAAAATGAGTTACTTCTTGAAACTTAGCACTATAGATTAGATCATCAAACTTATAGGTTGAATCATTACAATCTGCCAACATGATTTGAGGCAGGGGTAGGCCACGGTAGACACGGAGGAGATGTATGAAAAGGGACATGAGAGAGATGAAGCTCACTTGGAACAAGCTAGGAAGGATGGCCCAGGACAGAGATAAATGGAAGGAGCTTGTATGTGGCCTATACCCTGCCATGGGTGAAAGGCATTGATGTTGATGATGATGATTAACATGATTAGATAAAAACATCTAACCTTGTGTTGCAAGTGCCGTAAAACGCTCATTAAGGTTAAGACATATTATTATCATTTAATACACCTACACAATTATGAACAATTAGGAGGCCGGTTGTCGTCCGTGCCTGACAAGGCCAACCTGAGTTGAGAGGGATACAACATCCCAGCGTTGAGAGAGATACACCATCCCAAAGTTGAGAGGGATACAAAATCCCAAAGTTGAAAGGGATACAACATCCCAAAGTTGAGAGGGATACAATATCCCAAAGTTGAGAGGGATACAACATCCCAAAGTTGAGAGGGATACAATATCTCAAAGTTGAGAGGGATACAACATCCCAAAGTTGAGAGGGATACAACATCCCAAAGTTGAGAGGTAAACAATATCCCAAAGTTGAGAGGGATACAACATCCCAAAGTTGAGAGGGATACTCAATCTGATAAAAATGAGAGGGATACAATATCCCAAAGTTGAGAGGGATACAATATCCCAAAGTTAAGAGGGATACAACATCTCAGCAGAAAGACAAAGACACTCTGAAAAAAATAAATTCTCTCCCCACTCGGGAATTGAACTTGGGTCACTTCTGTGCGACAGCGAAGGTCATACAATGATAACCACTCCACCACAGATACCGTTGTAAAGACGTCATGGTGGCGTCTCACCCACCCTCTGTCCATGGTTCTGTGACGTTTCTCTCGACTCACACGCTCGCGGAGTGCCGGCCGGCACTGCACGGTTCCTAAGACCGTCAAAACCTGGAAGATTACACACACACACACACACACACACA